CCGATCCGGCACGGATAATGGCTCGTTGGCCTCCGCACTAGATCACAAGTTTCTTAAAGGCAGGAGATCTGTGTTTGTTTCCTGTCTCTTATATATAGCACCGGTGTTGGCTATATTGGTATAAAATAAATACGGGCCGAAGGAATATTCAAGACTGTGTTTTATACCAACACAGGCTTTCTCAATATTCTTCCAAAATCTGAACTGCACAATGGAGGGAATCCCTACTAGAATTTAGGCCAAACCCGGATTTGTGATCTGATTCCAGCACCATTTTGTGGCTCCTTCTCTGTAATCCTGGTGTCCCCCAGACGAAGGCCAACTCTTGCCCACGTTGAAGGTGTCGTTCATGTGCTCCTACACTTAAAGATCTCAGAGGAATGGGAATTTGCCTGTTTTCTACTGATTCAACATGGCCCTAAACTGGAGGGGGAAGAAAAAGATCACTGAGTAGAGAATTTTAGATTCATTCTTGAACAAAAAGGAAAATCTGTTTCCGATACTTGCTCTGCCCTTCACTTAAATGTTCAACAACCATAATCATCGTGAAAATCAGAGGAACTTTCTTTCTGAAGTGCTTATTCCCTACAGAGATTAAGAAACCACTTAAAGGTACATAGACAGATTTTTAAAACTTGTTTTGAATGGTCTGTAAGTTTGGAAGCACCAGACTTACCCTCCAGCCGGCTGTTGAAGAAGCAAGAGGTTAATAACCACCCGAATGGAACCACTTTCCTGATAACAAGGCAAGGTGTTTACGAGTCACGCTTGCCCACCTGTGAAGTGCTGATTCGACTAATAGGTATATTGGCCAAGTACAGGAAAGGTTTTGGCATCTTGCCCAAGGTCATGGACAAATTTGCAATCTCATCAAGCCATGTTCATTATCATGCAAAATATCTGAAACAGGTTTACTTAGAGATGTAGCAGTAGGCCGGGTAAATGGGAGTCAGATAAAACAAAAATATTAGATTCTGTGGACTTATTTTTAGAGACCCTTTTTCAATTCATGGCTTATGATGTCTGATCAATTCAGTTGAGCTATTTTAACATCATCTTGGAGTCCACTTAGGCTTACTTCTTCATTTTTCGGTGACCTTTGTGCACATGAATGACATTAATGACTCAGTATAGCCTACACTTACCTAATGAAAAGCTAATTTCTTGAGAGAGAAGCGGTTATAAGAAATGAGCCCCGGACCTCTCTCTGCGGGAAGGTCCCAACTTACTCGAGGAAACCTCATTTAGACACAGCAGAGATAATGAGCGATATCGGTCATGCGCTAAGTGCCAGCGAGTGACAGAGGGCAGAGTGACAGCTCCTCAGGAGGGTCCAGGAACACAGCCTGGCCTCCAAGCGGGAACGCAGACAGAAAACGTTGCGGGTCACTCGGTCACAACACATGTGTGCATGCATGCACCCCGACCCTCGTCGTTTGACTCGTGGGTACTGTGGCCTCTGCTTAATACCTACTATTCCTGTCTCTTGGTTTAAGAGCCTGTAATGGAAATTCTTACATATTGCTGCTGGAGACGTGCTATGTGAGGTCTTCCTGCAGGGCAGGGTCTTAGATGGATGTATGTATGTATGCTTCACTCCACTTAGACCTTCTGCCTCTACTGAGTCTTTTGAGGTACAGTACCGTATGTGTATATGTGATAGTACTCGTCGTCATGTTGCCCCTGATCTTTAGAATAACAGAATTGGTTGATGTCTCCTAATTCAGCCTTTGGAGGGAGACTTGGGTTACTGGAAATCCCTGGGAACCATTAAGAATGATGCTGAACACAGAATGTATTTTTCTTGTAAGCAGTCAAAAAATGGTGGCCTACCTCTGATGTGTTCTGAAATTCAGGTTCTTTGCGTGGCTAAAATGAACACATCAGGAGACTCTAGCTGCTGGCGAGGATGGGGAGAGACGGGAACCCTCTCGCACTGTTGGTGGGAATGCAAACTGGTGCGGCTGCTCTGGAAAACAGTGTGGAGGTTCCTCAAAAAACTAAAAATAGATCTACCCTATGACCCAGCCATAGCACTACTCGGAATTGACCCAAGGGATACAGGAGTGCTGATGCATAAGGGCACTTGTGCCCCAATGTCTATAGCAGCACTTTGAACCATAGCCAAATTACGGAAAAAGCCTGAATGTCCATCAATTGATGAATGGATAAAGAAATTGTGGTCTATATACACAATGGAATACTACTTGGCAATGAGAAAGAATGAAATAGGGCCTTTTGTAGCAACGTGGATGGAACTGGAGAGTGTTATGCTAAGTGAGATAAGTCAGGCAGAGAAAGATAGATACCATATGTTTTCACTCTTCTGTGGATCCTGAGAAACTTAACAGAAGACCATGGGGGAGGGGAAGGAGAAAAAAAAGAGAGAGGGAGGGCGCCAAACCATAAGAGACTCTTAAAAACTGAGAACAAACTGAGGGTTGTTGGGGGGTGTTATGCTAAGTGAAATAAGTCGTACAGAGAAAGACAGATACCGTGTTTGCACTGTTATGTGGATCCTGAGAAACTTAACAGACGACCATGGGGGAGGGGAAGGAAAAAAAAAGGTTAGAGAGGGAGGGAGCCAAACCATAAGAGACTACTAAAAACTGAGAACAAACTGACAGCTGATGGGGGATGGGAGGGAGGGGAGGGGGGGGTGATGGGC